TACATATATTATATATTTCACACTAAAAGGAACAGTACGTTGCATGTTTAATACGATATTTATTGGTGTATCTTGCAGGTACATCTATTTTAGGATTATTTTGAAAATTACCTTTTGGTATGTTATGGGCTAGATAAACTAAATAATGAGGAATGACCTTCGTTTATTTTTCTGTAAAACACTATTAATTGATTTTATGAAATAACTGAGTAAATGCTGCGGAAATAATTAATATTTGATTTGAGTTAAACGAGGGTCCACCACGTAAGAAAAATTGCTTCGAAAATTGGTGAAGTATGATATGAGTGCAACTAAAATTCTAATAAACTTTTTTAAATTTAGGATATACCTATTTAATGTTTCATTATTATTATTTTTTTTTATTCTTATAATGTTTGTGGCTTTTTTACATTCCTAAACTTAGTATTTTGAGTTTTTTGTGAAAAAAGAAAGTATAATAAAATTGTGTGACAATTGTGTGAATGTCAAAGAATTATGAAAACAACGGTAGAATATCTCAAACTGCTCAAGTTATTGAATCTAAAAAATACATTAAAAAAATATTGACGACAACATTAAGTAGGTGTATGTAGGTAATTAAAAAAAATTAACTAGAATTTTAGTTGCACACAGTTTTCACTTTTTTGAACAAATTTCCTTGCGTTATGAACTCTCAACGTTCATTTCCATTTATACCAAGGGTAAAATAAAGTCCGAACATATTTTGGCCTTGTAGAAAGATTATCATTCATATATACAATACTAGAATAAGTAAAACGTACTAAAAGTTTAAAATATGAATCCATTTAATTAGCTATATTGCTTTCAAATCAACTTGCATCATTTATGTATCAATCAGGTACATATTCCTTTGGGTTTTAATGATTTTATCAAAAATGCAGCTTATTATTTCTTAAGAAAAAATTAAGTTAGTTTAGCTACAAATTCCTCATAAAGTAATCATAATGATCCATAACTTGCAAGATCCACCAATTGTAATAATTAATTAGTTTTTACGTTTACAAAAAATCGTAAATGAGTTTAAATTTATCGTGAATATTCTTATTCTTTTTATTTTTCAATGTGGTAGTCTTTAACCACGGCCTTAATAACACCAATCTTTTGGTACTACTACCCCTTCCTTTTATTATTTGCCATTTATTTATTTATTGCTTTTTTTATTATTACATAGAAAAATATTTTCAGAATTTTCGCGAGAGTAATAGAACGGCGTAGCTTGAAGAATAAACTTACGTTTCGAAATTACAAATTATATAGTTTAAAATATA